ATAATAATAATAATAATAATAATAATCTGATATATCAGATTTGTTACTTAATAACAACAAGTATCTGATTAACAATAATTATCAACTAACAGACAAGAATGAGTTCGTGTATAGTTTATAACTAGCTAGCATTAGTAGCATTAGCACTTCACTAGAAAAATAATAATATTGATCACTAATATTAGTGATCAAAATGTGGTTTCTGAAGCCTTCTGATTGTCATTATTATTGATACACAATCTATAACCAAATGCAAGAATGCTAACTGCTGAATTTAAAAGGCTGACAATCAGGGAGCTGATTATTTAGGCCTAGAGAGCAGTTCCTAAACTGTTTCTGGCATTAGCTGGAAATCAATTGCTAAACCCCAAATTAAACAAACCTAGGGACTGCTCAGTGACCACCTGACGATGGGGGAAAGTGTGCACACTTTTGGAGAGTGGTTGCTGGAGATTGCCAGCAGTTGCTAGCTTGAAATTGGTTGCAAAGATAAATATACAGTGCTGCACTCAAAATCGCTTTGGAACTGATCCGATCATTAGCAGGTTTTTGTATTTACTAGCATTTTCCAAGCAGTTTGCATGGAAGATTCCCATTTGACCGCAAACAGAAGCAAACTGCTCATCCAGTGGAAGTGTAAGAAGTAGGACCCAAACCAGAAGCACAGAGTTTTTGGCCTTAAAGTAAAAACAGCGTCTCAGTTTGCGGTTTATGTCACACGAGTTTTATTACCGATTGAAGAGCAAATGGCAAGTGTTTGCAGACAAGTTGGAGACTTTCATCCAAATAACAGGCAACTGCAGCAACTACATCAGCCTCTTTGCAACTGATATCACCTGGTGACAGCCAGCAACCACTTGCCAATCAGTCGGGACAACATGATTTATGTCTCTTCATTTCAAAGACTGTGATGTTGTGAGTAGTTGTAGGGAAACAGTTATTTCAAGCTTGTGTGCGTTGTGTGGTTTATGGTAATCCCACACACCACATGATAAAGTTGAATTATACATTATAAGTAACAAAGATGCCCTGAGTCCACAGTGAGTGGACTGTTCCACAACATGATTTGTTGATTAAAAATGAAGCGCTTTGTGTGCGTGGTCAATGTGCAGTTGTGTTTTGTAATATTGTTTGACACACATTTTCATGGGAATTTGAATGAATTCAAAGTTTTGTTTTTTCAATCACACTCTGAAGAATATTTTATGATCGCCACCACTCTCTCTGTCACAGGAGAAGCAAGCTCTGTAGTTTAATATGAGACAATAATTTGATGTAATCCCAACAGTAATGAGAGCAGCACATGGGGTGCAGACTGTATATCAAGGTCATGTTTGCCCAGGGGAGGAACCAGTGCTCTTAGCTCGGAGCAGGCATAGAGCATGATGGGATGCTATATTAAGAAGCTGCTAAAATAACTGCTAACATAACTGTGCATCAGAAAGGGTGAGACGAAAAGATCAATGCTGCATTCTTCCATCAACGAGCCCAGAAAAAATGCAAATAAACAAGCAGAGCAGTGGCAGGTGTGTGGGGTTAACGATGACTGCAAACTGAAGCGATTTCACCAAAATCCTTTTGGGTCAAATGGTTCATAATGATAAGTGGGACATGTTAAAGTGCAAATGCATTAATTCAGTATAATACTTCCTTTTAGGTTGGGGGACTTCAAAGTTACCTCTGGCTCTTGGTCCTGACATTTAATGCATTTAATGGCTTAATTTATAAAATGTACGTTAACATGTTGCAACAATAAGAATGTAAAAGACACAGACAGCGAAAAACCACCACTTTTACCCAGAAGACAGATTTCAGGGACCGCTACTTGTATTTTATATTTTACTTTTATTTTCAGTCTCTGTTTAGGCGCTAAAGCTGTTGGTGAGGTTTAAGAATATATCCTCACCTCAGCACCTGGGTCGGCTGATTTGCTGAAACCATCGCCATCACATTAAAGGACAATATGTTGTAGAGTTGTGCATGCATGCAGTGCATCAATTCTTCTAACTGCGAGGAAGAGGAGGAGGTAACTCTCATTTTAAAAAACTCCAGAAGCCTTGCATTGTAATATAATGGGGTTGCCTTCACCCAACACAGGAGTCAAATTGTATAAAAGTATGAGAAAATGATCCTACTGCTCACTTCATTTGTGACCTCAATTAACACTTTCCTGATGAGTTTACGGCCTCAATATTTTCAAGTCATTTTGAATACATGTTTATTTTGTTAATGTTATACACGTTTGTCACGTCACTGCCACACTGAGCACGCAGCGTCCCTCAGTGTCTGAAGCATATGTCCAGAGTGTCAAAGCTCACCTGAGGTTTCACAAACACGACTTTTCTTTCAGTCTGTGTTCAATAAACATGACTGACAGTTTAACAGTAGCAGCAACACAGCCTGTGATCCATACAGTTTGCAACCACTGAACATAATGATATGAATGAAAGGCTCAAAGGTCCAGGTGCTTCTCTTTTAGATCCTAATGTCCCTCAACAATTACCAATGTTGTTCATGCAAAAAGCACAAAAATCCCAGTGCACATATCCAAGAAATGCTCAGCTCAATTTGATTTATTAGCTCAGTTCTATAGTTTCTGGTCTCTGTATTGTTTGGTGAATTTAAAAGGACTCATAAATGTGCTGCTCCGTTCTCCTGTCTGTACTGCTTCCTCCCTTATGTTGATGCCACTTTATTATAATCACAGTAACAGTCATTTTATTTTTCAGCAGTTGAAATGAAAAGCTTGTTGGGTGAAGGCGACCCCGTTATATTCCAATGCAAGGCTTCTGTAGCTGAAATGATAAACTTGAGGGGTGCAAGTTCCCAAAAATACAAAACATAAACAACACGGGCTTTTCCAACTACTGCGGTTCTAATGTCCACTTTTCCCACGTGAGTCATGCGCCATGTTTTCTAAATTGTGATGACCTCTGATTGAATATTTTGACACCCATCTGCGTGCATCGCCCCCTCCCTGCCTTAATGTTGCATGCATTGGTGGTCCAAAGCAAGAAAGAGACGCTCTGACCTTTCATGTCACAGATATACCCGGATGTTCTCTACATTGCAACAATAAACAAAATACACAAATGATATTGAATTTGCACTGAACTGCAGTTCTGACTACATCATGTGCATTTTTTGCTTGTTTCACGTATCATGACCTTACTTTCTTTTTATTGGGCACCAACTGGACTCTGTGACTGGTGCAGCAAACACACGAGCACCTAAGCTATCCACGCGCTAAAACAAGCTGCGTGATATTTATTGTTGCTTTTCTTTTATTCTTGGCTGCCTTCCGGTAATTTTCCGGTTAAGTATCAAACAGCTTCTAAAGTAAAAAGATATTTGGATACTGGCGGTGGCACTGCTGCAGTCTTGCCATTTCCCTCATCAGTGCTCGTGCTGCTGGTCCAATATTCAGTCCAATACTGCAGCCTTTCTGGCAGGGAGCGCGCCTCCAAATTTACCCTCCCGCTGCGCTCGCTCCCCGTACCTTAAAAAACGCGTGCACGGCTGAAGGTCACTTAAACACAAAAGGCTTTCAGCGCTGCGGTCCAATATAGCGCATGCGCGCTGCCGGAGGACTGCTTCACAGACCGCAATATGGCGAGAATGCCTGGCAGCGGAGACACGGAGCAGGAGCAGATGAGCTGCCCCGAGAGGAGCAGGGATGAGGAGGAGGAGGAGGAAGATGAAGATGAGATCCAGGAGGTCCAGATCACCGGGGAGGAGGAGGACGAGGAGTCCGACAGAGATGGAGTGGAGTGGGAGTCAGGGAGCACAGTGCTGGACTCCAGCGGTTCCGCCGCGCAGACACGAGCGGTCGTTATGCGGAGTATGGACCGAAGGGAGGAGGAGGAGGGGGAGGCGGACCCACTCGGCAGCAGCATCCCCTCCGGGCGCGAGTCTCACCCGGAGGGAGAACTTCAGCGGTCAGAGCGAAACAAGCTGAGCGAGAACACCCGCCTGGCCACCAGGTACGCCGTGAGGATCTTCAGGGAGTACCTCAGCGAGAAAGCCCAAAGTCCAGACTTTGAAACTCTGGACAAGGATGCGCTCTGCGCTGTGCTGCGCTCCTTTTACGCCGAGGCGCGCTCCAAAAGTGGACAACTGTACAGCAAGTCCTCCCTCATCAGCATCCGCAGCTCTCTCAACCGGTACCTGAACGAGCCGCCCTACTGCCGCACCTTGGACCTCACCAAGGACCCAGAGCTGCGCAGCGCCAACCTGACCCTGGCCGCGGTCATACGGAGGCTGGAGGAGCAGGGTGCCGGCCCGGTGGTGCAGAAACAAGCCATCACGCGCTCGGACCTGCGGAAACTGTACGAGTCCTCCGTGTTCAACACCGACACCCCGTTTGGGCTTCTGAACAAAGTCTGGTTTGAGACCTGCATGTATTTCTGCACCAGGGGAAGAGAGAACCAGCGGGAGCTGGAGGAGGACTCGTTCGGCCTGGCCGTGGACGAGGACGGAAGAAAGTTTGTGTATTTTAAAGCTCTCGGACCCTATCACAAGTCCCGCTCCGCCGCCTGGACCAAGAAGCGCCCGGACGCAGACGAGGACACGCTGCCGCGCATGTACGAGACGGGCACGGAGCAGTGTCCGTACGCCAGCTTCGTCCGGTACGTGTCCAAACGGAACCCGCTGTGCAGGGCGTTCTTCCAGCGGCCCCGGGACCACTGCTGCGCGAGCGACGTGACGTGGTACGAGAACAAAGCCATCGGGAAGAACCTGTTGGGCACGAGAATGCAGATGTTGTCGCGCGCTGCCAAGCTCTCGAAAACCTACACCAACCACTGCATCGGTGCCGTCTCCATAGCAACCCTCAACAGCATCGTGGGGGCCGCGGGCTTCAAGCCCTCGACGACGCTTTACGTTGCCTCGGAAACGGTCAATGGTCACGCGCAGTCCCACCTCCAGCTCGTGATCCCGTACCTGCGCAGGGTCAGCGACGCTGCGGATCTGAGTCAGCAGCAAAGCGCAGAAGCAGAGACGTCGCACACGTCGCCTACATCAGCAGCAGCAGCGAGGAGGGAGAGCAACGAGGACGACCCGGGAGCTCCGTCTGCCAAGAAACGCTGTGTGCGCCCCGGGACGCGCGCCGAGTCGCCCGCGGAGCCGAATGAGAGAGAGTCGGTGCCTGCCACAGCCACGGAGTCCCGTCTCGCACAGTCCGGCGCCCGGTCCCCTGTGCCCACAGAGGTAACCGGAACATGTTGGTCCGTTTTCATCTGTTGGAGCTTCAAGCCTCCCGTGTTAAACCCGACAGGGAGTCAGTCCCGTACCGATGTGACGCCCATCTTTAGGAGGAGAGTTAGAGCGCAATAAAATATTAAACTAGTAGGTGTTTAGGGTGGGCTGTAATCTATGAAAACCTTTATCTGAACTGCTTTATTAGGGGGTTAAAGTCAAATTAAAATAAACAGACGCTCAGGAAAAGCATGTTCGAGTCGGCTACCTTAGTAAGCACTCTGACTTTATTTCTCTTCTCGGGCAAATACAACTTGACGTCTTTAAGAAGTACATCAATATCTTGTTACGGGGACATTTGGGATCAGATCAGCCTAATAAATACAGAAATAAATAAAACTGTTGCAAAGTGTTAAAAAAATAAGAACAAATTACAGATGCGGAACCATTGCACCCTTCATTTACAAAGCACTTCATCACTTTTGTGTTATTTTCACGTCTTATAATCTTGAACATGTCATAAAATATCTGTAATCATGTAGTTTACTTCAGTGGTGCCACTTAGTGTGAAAATCGATGCACATACAGACCTACAAACACTAACCTGGAAGCCTCATTAAGCTTCAGTTCTTTAGATCCAGGTTTAGATACCAAAACATTACACTTGTGCTCAGTTTGTCAGTGAAATAATGAAAGTAGAATTTTGAAGTACGCTGAGCTTAAAGTCCTATACCAGAGTTTGTGCACCCTTTATTCTGAATTACAAACCATTTGCACAACATCAGCTCTAGTGCTTGGTACGAGGGAAAATAATGACTTTGTAGTCACAAACGTTTATCACTAAGGGCTGCACAGAAATATGTACATTTGTCTGTGAAGGCTCTCAGTCATGCAGGTCATCGTAGGAGCTCGGAAAGAAAAGCGTCTGGACTCGTTTAAGTTGCTTCTTCAGTTCAGTTCCCCAAATGTACATGCATTTGTTTGCTTTTAAATCAGTAGTAAGTGGCTAAAAAATGATCTGATTGTACATTTTTATATTTTTGTTACATAAGTTGCTCTGATGTAAACATAATACAGAATTACAGAATCTCACCCTGTAGGAAACTGTGTTGTCCATGTGGCCCAATCATGTGAGGAGAAGCAGAGATTTGTCTTTGGGAGTGTCCCTCTGTTGCCAAGGGTAACTATACCTGCTGATGAATTTATCCACCGTGCATAAGTGCCATAGCTGCAGGGCACAGACTGCTTGTTCGGCAGTCACAACACGCACACACACACACATGGATTATATAGATGTGATCATCTGTACCTGCTGTACATCGTGTGAGGCCGGTGTCTCAGCCGTCTGTTCGCCCTTCATGGTGCTTACTCTGATATTTATTTACATGTAATTTGATGTACGTGTACATACAAGCAAAGAATTAAGCAAAATGTTAAAATTATGAGTTAGACAGTTGAACTGTTGGCGCTCTCTGAGGTTAAAAAATGAAGGTCAAGGGAGACGAGGCAGGAATGTGAAAGGTCACAGCAGAAATCCACCGAGTCATTCAGGAGGAGCTCGGAGTAGAGAGACTCGTCCTCCACATTAAAAACTACCAGCTGAGGTGTTTGGGGGATTTGACTAAGATGCTTCTTGGATGCCGTCTAGATGAGGTATTTCCTGTATGCTCTTCTGTAAGGAGACCCTGGGAAAGCCCCAGAACAAGCCAGAGAAGAGTTTGTCTGGCTTGGAAACACCTCAGTGTCCTCTTCAGAGAGCTGGAAGCTCTGGCAGGAAGAGGGAGGTCTGCTTATCTCTGCTTAAACCGCTGCTTACACTCTTACTGTTTTCTTCAGCAGTGCCGGTTGTTGATTACTTAGTTAATCCCGTACATATTCATCTGCAGCCAGTAACAGCAAATGTTCAGGGCACATCCTCACTGCAGACCATTCACATTTAGTGTTCAGTGTAGTTGAACTGACATGAACACAATCGTTTGGAGCAGAACAGAAGAGAGCAGCTGGAACAGCATGAAAGCAAACGGCGGATCAGTCTAGAAGAGTGAAAGCCCAGAGGACGTCCCAGCCTGTGCACTGGCCTCCTACCAGCCTGCCGATTGTTTCTTTCAGAGCTTAATGATTTGTTTCGTGCCAGACACCTGGCACCATAACGTAGCCTACAAGGCAATCGGGAATAGCTCTGACCGAGTCGTATCTGTGAGCCTGACAGGATGTCCTTGTGCTTCTTAGCTTCCTGTCAGGCTCCTGGCTTTACCTCACAGTCCCACGTCTGCCTGGCAGGAACTTCTGTAAAACTGTTCAGGTTTGCCAGCCTGCTTGCAGGTTTTCATACAAACATCGACAAGACCCAGTTTGGCTTCAAGCACAAAACATCTTTCAGGAGCTGCAGATAGATGCATTTATTATGGAGCATAACTTCATGACAACACGCAGAGATTTCTCTCGTTTAACCTGCAGCAACCAGCTGTTCACATAAAGGTTGAGGGTGCTGCACTTCGGGTTGCAGAGGTGGTTGTGCAGTTCGCCTTGTTGTCTCCAGCTGGTCCAGCTCGGTGGCAGAGAGAGGTTTGCAAATAATTGCTGCATAATTTATAAACACAGATTGCCAACATGTTGCAATCAGTTACATTTGCTCTGCAAGCGGTCGCAAGTTAATACATAACTCGTGGGCGGCGATGAAAATGAGTGTGCTGAAGCGGACAAATCTCCCCTCTTTGCTATATTTCCTGCCTCTCCTCAATCATTTTGATTTATCACAGATTGCACGTAAACGAAAACTTGATCCAAACTGATAGCAGGCTGCCTTGTCGCTGCCTTGTCGCTGCCTTGTCGCTGCCTTGTCGCTGC